ATATTTATTTGATTATATAAGATTAAATCCTTCCAGGAACTTTTATACAGCACTTCATATATGCATAGAATTGTTGCTGTTATTGTACTTAAGGGACACCATATATAGGAGAGATGACTAATTTCAAAAAGGGTCAAATTAGAATAATAAGATGCAGAAAGTTGAGGAAGCTCAGCAAAAATAATAAACTGTCTTTAATCCAGGTCAATCCACCCTGTTAATTAACTATTCTGATGAAGTCCAGAATAGTCCTGGAAGTCTCTTTTTGCCCCCTTCTTTTCTCTTCACCACCAAATAATATAGATAATCAATCCTAATAAGCTATTTAACATAGTTTAGGTCTACTTTGTACATAAACATCCCATTTATGTAATCAACAATTACTTATTTTTAGTTGCAACTACTGAAGATGATGTTCACCAACTATTTCATTAAAAATTGGCTCTCTGTGGCACATATCTATCTAGATTTTTTCTACTAAACTATATGCAGCAATGACAGGATACTCTGCAAAACTTCATTATTAGCCTTGTTCATCTACATATTAGAAGTTAATTCAGTTAATTATTTGCAATCTAAAAATAATTATGTCTAATTATCTACATTTCTCTTTCCAAATTTGATTTTAATTTTTAATTTCTTTGATTTCATCTACTTCTAGTCTTCAGAGTGTGACATATAAACAATCAGTGTAACAAAAAGAAAAACTTACAGGTGCAAGTCGTCCCATTTTCATCCAAAAGTTGATTATCAGCACAAGCACACACTCGGCCTCCTGGAATGGCCAAGCAAAGTGTACTACAGCCACCGTTATTTACTCTGCACATATTGTCACCTGCAAGAAGAGGGAAGCAAATGGGTCAGAGAACTGCAATTCCATTCAAAGTCAGCCAGTTCAGGTTCATCTTCTTTCTTGAAGGTATGTGGGGCATAAATACATATACATATTTGGTCACCAGGAAACCCACTGCCATCGGGTCAATTCCGACTCACAGCAACCCTGTGAGAGAGAGTCGAACTGCCCCATAGGGTTGCCAAGGAGTAGCTGGTGGATTCGAACTGCCGACCTTCTGATTATCAGCCAAGCTCTTAATCACTGCTGCACCAGGGCTTCAATGAGTCAGGATCAACTAAGCAGCAACTAACAGCAACAACAACAACAATATAGGCATACATATATTATATGCTCAGTGATGTAGTCAGAGTTTTGGTTGAATGCTAAATGCAATTCAAAAATGCTTGAAAATATGATACATTGGTAGATAAGAGGAATCAATTTGCATTGTGGCTGGAGAAGACAGAGATCTTTATGCAGATAGGCACCAGAAGACAAGATGGAGAAGAGAGAATGGTTGTCCAGGGTAGTTCCTCAGTGTAGGTCTACTGTATTCAAGTCTGAGTTCTCTGGAAAGTAGACCACCAGCTCATGGAATGTGTCTTTCGATCACCAGTGAACAGAAAGAGAAAGAGCACTGGGGACAGTGGTGGGAAATTCTTTTCTCTTGTGCAAGGAATATGTTGGCATGTCAGTGCACTGAGGAGTGTGTGGGACATAGGATATCTGGGAAGGTTTAAAAATGAGCAGCCTTGGCAGCACCAGAAGACTACAGTATACAAGAATAAAAGTATTATCCTATTGAACCTAAGCAGCAGAGGCAATGATGAGGCATGCAAGGAGTATTGACATAGCAGGCATGAGCAGAAATTCAAAAAGGTACTATGCATGAACACATGTGAGACACTCTGAGAGACTCTCAGATAAAGTTAAGTAAAACTTTCAGGAGGCTAGAAATCATGTTTTATAAAGGTAGAGGTAAGAGTAAATAAAATTTAGGTAATAACCATTTTGATATCATTTATTCCTAAAGGTTAGAAAGACAAGGAAGATAGTGTATATATTTAGGTATTTATGTATAGAACTTTACATTTACATACTAGCAATCCAACTGATAGTATAAATGCCAGGGCCATTTTACACGATTATGCTGCATTTTACAAGATATCAATAAATTATCCAAAGGTCTTACTTCAATATTAAAAATAAAGAGATTTTAATTATTTATAGAAATACAATAAAATGACTAAAATCATATTGACAGTTGAAGTGTAAGTGCCAGAAATGTGCCTAAAGTAACAGATTAGGTTATTATACCGTGGGCCTCAGGGGCTAGATGTACTACATAGAGGGAAAAAAAAAGACACACACTCAAAAATGTTGCTGTATGCAATAAATTTTTAACTTATTCCCATAGATTATTATAGTGTGCCCACAGATCAGAAGAAATAATCTAATTTTTTAAACATTTCTTTTAATTTTTCTGAGAAGCACACTTAATTTGCATTATTCTAAGAAGTGATTTTAATTACAGAAAATACAGAATAAACTTGAAAGCAAAGTAAGCTAATAATTCAAGCTATAACACCAATTTCTGAACTCAGAGGGTAATTAAGCTTAGCTCAGGCATTTTTCAACAGGGGATGCAGAATTTTTAAGCAACTCCCCAGATATAATTGTGTTTTTGCCATGACCATGGAATAAAAATGTAATACTTCATTAAATGTTTGTGTGTTCTATATTATACACATTATGTACAGGATTAAATTGTGAATACCATATTTAAGTAAAATTTAGTTTCTGCAAAATTAGAATTAATCTAAAATATGTTGAGAAATATGTGAAGAATTTAAAACACTAACAAATAAAAATTACTGAAAATAACATATCAGGATATGTTTTCATATGGAAAATATATGCTAAGTATCTTATTCTTTAGTTCAATGACATGACCCATACTTACCATTCTCAATTAATATGAAAGTTAAGTATTTAGAAATAAGTTACCATTATTCAAACTTTTAAATATATTCCATTTCTATAAATAATTTATACTTAAAATAAGGAGTTGCTATTTGTCCTGTCATGATAGAAGTTTTAAAATCTAAATTAATTTGAATAATTTCATATCTCTCATCAAAACTGCAGATATATATTTTTTTTATTTCAGTAATTCCAGTATATTTTTGAGTTTCATTGCTTGAAGAACATGTTCTAGTTCAAGCTCATGTGATAGTCTTCTTTGAAATTCTATTGGCTTGCAAAATTTTGCATCTAAGAATATCTTCTTCCAAACATGGTTAAGTAACTACTTTTCAAACACAGCACTAAATTTTTTTATACATCAGTTATCATTAAAATAGTTTGTTAACATATTAGTAACTACCACTATTGAAATCCATAATACATCATTCCCAGGGCTAGTTATCTTACATACACATTTTATTTAATTTATTTAGTTTATTTAAATTAATTTATTTAATTCACATACATATAATTCTACACTAAAGTTGTAAGGTAGGCTTTATCTAATTTATACGTGAGACTACTAAGAGTTTAATGACTTAATGAAGATTTAAGAGTTTCATGACTTATCCAAGGTCTAAAATTAAGAACTACTTCTTACATGTAATAAGAAATTAGAATAAAGGTTATTATTTTTTCTATATAGTTAATATCATCATCATCACTATTTCTAAATAATTAGAAGTAAAGGTTTTTCTTATTCTAAACTTCATGTTATTAAACTCTAACCTATTTATATAGGCCAAAATAAAATTAAGTCAACAACAGGACAAAAAAATAACCCACTAAAAACAACAAAATAAAATTCTAGATTATACTATTTTGGAGGCAAATAATTTTTTAATCAAATATGCAGGGAAAGCAAATAAGGAACAGTTTTAAAATCTAGTTCTAGAGAGTAGTATGTCTGGACCAAAATTTTATTTTTTGCCCTATCTCGTATCATTTCCAGGAGTAAGGTCATTCTCTATCTGACAACAAGTGCCTGGGACAGAGTATACTTTTGACAAATATTTGCTGACTACATGAAAGAATGATGGTAAATTTTAGTATAGCCATTTGAATGACAGGAACCATCGTTTGGGGTGTAGACACATGGCGCAGAGTATGTGGATGGATATAAGTCGATTTTAATAAGACTCGTGTATGTGAGTGAGCATATACATATACATATGTATTTTATATATATACATACATACACACACACTCTGCCTACATACTTTGCATTTCAAGGTAAATTGCATTATAACTTTCACAGAGCAGTAACAAAGCATAAATGATATATGAAACCACATCACAAGCCTATATTAAAATCTCAACCTTTCTTAACTTTAGTAATTTAATTTTTGTCAATAAAGTATCTCCTACTTCCAACAAATGGCAGCACAAATGAATCCAACTGTTTTATTCTTCTCTTTATCTAAATATTTTTCAAAACTGTTGAAGGAAGAAATTCTTTTCTTATATGCCTCCTGGACTCTTGACTTCTCAAAGTCTTATCATATGTGAAGTTAGAAGTATCTGTTTTAATATGAAACACATAAACCTACGGGAATTTTTTTTTTCTTGATAGAGGTATTGTCTGGCTAGACACACTAGACTTTATATTCATCCTAAAAGTTGGATAAAGACTAGTATGGTGGGATAATGAGTCCAAATGGATCATGCATTTCATCTAAGATAATTTCAAAAGTATCAAGTTTGGAAAAAAAAATCAATCTGAGGAAAAGCTAACATTTCATACCTCTTCTCTCTTTTTGAACTATATGCTCATTGAAGGTTGTATTTACCTTTGACTTGTTTGAAGCTTCATATATGAGCATGTGTCAGTATGTGTGTGTGCGTGTGCATGCACGTGCATGTCTATTAACTATATTAAAAGCCTAGTTGGTATCTCTATAGTGATTATCCCTAAAATGGGATTTTTGAAAATAAAGACAAAAATTTTCTGTGATGATAGTTCCTCACTAAATGCTAAATCTTCTTAAGCCTATAAAATTATGTGATTAATAAACATGCCATGCATGAAATAAAAATTGCTATGTGTGATTTACCTACTGTACTATGTAACTTAGGGATCCTTGAATCCTTGGGTTCTATAAAGATAGTCAAGGGTGATTTATATTAAACAAAGATAGGAGTTCAAAATTTACTGATGATCAAACTATAAGAACCATAGAAAACGCATATTTTTCCCTTTCTTTCTAAAAGTATATGGGTCCTATAGTTTTTATAAATACCACTGATCACAAATTAATGATAGAAAAAATACTTTATGGTTAGATATATCTGAATTTGTATCCCAGTTTAATTCCTGCCTCATTGTATGTCCTGGGGACAAATTACTATATCTGTCTTATGCTTGAGTTTCTCATACGCACCGTGGAAATCACCAGTACCTGTCTTAAACGTCTGTTGAGAGCTTTATACAATGCTAACCCCACTCTCTGACATTTAGTAGATATGGTAGTTATAATAATTAGAGTTAATAATTAGGTAATAAATGTCAACTATTTGACAATAAAAAACTGGTCTTTTATTTTGAATTGGGTATAGAATACTATTCATCAACAGTTTTTAGAATGTTGTTCTTAGTTCTGATTATCTCATTCTCTAAAACTTGTAGAAAAAAATGAAGTGTGCTTTTAAAACTTGCAGAATAAAAGGGAAAAAGTGTGTTAATTTTGTACAATTGCTGTTCTTTATATAAGAAATTTCACGAGCGTTTAATAAACTGTTCTAGATATGTAATGTTAGCTAAGAAGAAGAAAAGGTCATCAATTAAATCATAAGAAAAAGCAGAGGCATTAAAAAAAAATCTTAACCCTAAATCCCTACAAATTACTTAGGGATTTATTCCTAGAGACAGTTTTCTGTATGGATGGATATATATCTACCTTCCTGAAATTAAGTAGTATATTATCAAGTAATTTGATTAGAGTCTTTTGCAATCTGGGGGAATCTGGTTAGCTGACTAATTTTATGACACAAAGTCTAAAAGAGATTACATGTTACTTTATTAGCATTCCTGAATACTTTTCAGGATGTCCCTGTGAGGTGGAGTATGTGTGTGTATATGCTAATATGATCTATCTAGCTAGCTAACTATTCACACACATACATACAAATATTACATATATGTGTGTGAATACATAGCCTATCTCTGAGAAACACAGAGAGAGAAAGATAAAGAGACTAAAAAGGTGTGTTGTTGTTAGCTGCCATAGAGTCAGGCCCCGACTCATGGTGACCCCATGTACAATCAAACGTTCTTTGGTCCTGTGCCATCTCCATGAGAGATTGTGGATCGGACAGTTGTGATCCACAGGGTTTTCAGCAGCTGATTTTCCTAAGTAGATAAGCAGACCTTTCTCCTTAGTCCATCTTAGTCTGGAAGCTCTGCTGAAACCTGTTCAGCATCACAGCAACATGCAAGCCTCCACTGACAGACAAGGGGTGGCTGCACATGAGGTGCGTTAGTCAGGAAGACTAGCTTATTACCATTCCATGAATAAATGATATGTTCTATTTAGAGATTGGGTTTTCTATTCAATTGCTTCTCTTATACCCTTAGAAAAACAGTCTGCTAGTAGACAGCCAAAGTTTACATATCACTGATTATATGTTCCCACATATTCATTAATAACTGATATTCAAAGGATGCAAACAGAACCACAACTGAGAGAAAATTATAACATGGTAAGATAACATATCCACATATGAACATAGAGCACATTTTACTTCATAATTTAGTTAATTCAATCAATGTAGTAAGAAAAATTAAATCATTAAGATCCTGAGTAGGCTATCCAATTTCAACGTCCATTGACTGAGTGAAAAAGGTGTTGACCAGACATTCTTCCCATACTGTATTGTTTGTTCAAAAGATCCAGTTAAGTAATAGTCAGTCTTTACCTACAAGTAGACTGGGTAGAAAACTCAAGCTAATTGATTATTTTCATCTAAGATGATGAAAAATAATCAATTTGAATGAACACATTCTCTCAGTAAGACAAAACATAAAAGTTTCTAAAATAAAAGCTGATGGATAGTAATCAAGGTTAAGTTTCCAATTTACTACCCCACCCTTGGCTTTAATTAAAAGAAAGAAAGAAAAAAAAAAACCTTTAAAAGATCATTGTCCATCTAAGGAATGGCATTGTACATATGTCAATGGTACTCTGTGACCTTTTCCACCTTCCAAAATACTAGATATAGTCCTCTCTCAGAGGTATGTGCTTTGTTATATATGATTGTGATGTGTATTTGAATAGCCTTTGAATATTTATTTAAAATGCTTATAGGGAAGACACCTTTAAAAAATGTATGCTTCCTTATTAAGAAATGGTAAGGGCAAAGGAACTAGAATAAATTGTGTATCAGGTACTGTAAGATCCTTATTCTTAAATAACAAATAGTTACTTAACCTTTTCAGGAATATTATGAAGAAAATATTTTTCATTGTTTTTAAGTGTACTGCTTTAAGTTTAACGTCCAAAGTTTCAGAAGGAGAAGATGTTAGGACCTGGATATAAATGCAAGTCTCTTTAACAATAAGCTAGGTATTTTTACCACATGTTAACTAGTCAACTCTCTAATGCAACTAGAAGTTTAAAGAAGATGAAGACTGTAAAAATACCTTCGACTTTGGCTATAATTAAATTAGCAATGATATTCAAGAGAAACAGTTTCTAAAGAGGATGAAAATTGATAATGTAAATGTATACTGATTGGTGTGATAAACTCTAGGGAACTAATGATTGTGAAGTCAGAGGGAAAAATAATCCTGAAAACAAAATTATACAGGAGATAAGAAATGTTGTTCATGTTCACAGTCTTGCCTGCAGTTCAGTGTAGACAAACTACAGTGACTGTGGTGGGGACTGGGGTTCATGTGGGTGTTACAGCAAATATTACAGTTTGGTCTATCCAGGCAGTTGTCTCTATTCTTCATTTCTTGCCGCAGATATAGCTTGCATCATCCCAAATAATTTCATTTTTATTCTTTTAAAAGACACTTTTATCTTTTGTTGCTATTTCTCATATTATTTACTGACATTCTCTTATAAAACTGCATTTGTGTTCCAGTGAGGCAATCTTAGTACAGAATGAGGAAAAAAAGCAAGCTCTTGAATGAGAATGGGCTTTAAGATCTCCAATGTAGCTGGAATATCTTCAAAAAATTATTGTTGCTAGATAACACCCTATTGACAACATATGTGTAGAGAAATTCAGGATATAATTTATTCATTCCTAATTCATTGAAATTTATGTTCAGTAAATTGTTATGAGAATATCTCAAAAAAAAAAAAAGAGTGGAAGTGACTATTTAGACTTATAAAAAAATCTATCACATAATTTAACCAAACTGTTTTCTTTTCTGAGTACAGGTAGTCTCTGACTTACTACTTATTCATGTTATGACTGTCTTCACTTACCACCGTATTTATTTTTTTGTACATCTTATCGCTAGTAATATGTACTACATATAATGATAAAATATATCTGTAAGTTTATATGTAATGTTTCCAACCTCCAAAGACAAATAAAGATCTGATTTATAAAGATACTGATAATAAAAGGCAATAATAATGAAAACTAAAAACAAGGGAAAAAATGAGGTATTCAATTTGCTTCAGAACCGACTTATAACAAAGGCATTGGAACGGAAGCCCATTGTAAGTCAGGGATGACCTGTACTTAAGTTCTGAGTCATGCTATTTGTGGATGTCCAACTAAATACTAATAACTCATGCAGATAAAACATATAACAATATTATTTGATTTTCATAAAACATGATTATATTATTTCACTTTCATATCATCTAAAATAATGAAATGTTTCATAAATATACATAGAAAGTAACCAGAATACATTAAAATGCTAATTTGAATAAACTTCTGCACATAACATTTTTTCATAATTTTCTTTTCCTATTAAAGAACTTTTTCTGACTTCTTATAGTACTTATTCTTTGAAAACATTAAGATCATAGTTTTACTTTATATAACTGCTTTCTTCAGTAAAAAAATGACCTGAAAAAGGAAGTATTTGGAGAAAACATTGAACTTCACTCGAATAGAATTCCCAGAGTTACTCACTCAGTTTATTTAGAACAATAAATAATAAGTTTTTATGGCAACCTAGTCTAATATTTGATTGACTTTGGAGTGAACTGGATACCTTTCATCACAAAACTTCAACAACATTGTCAAATGAAATCTTTTTGTAATAACTGTGAAGTATCATTGCATGTGTAATTCAGGAACAATTTTGTGTGGCTTTTAATACCTTGTTGCTTTCGTGGATCATAAATCTGAAGCCCAAATAGGGGTGGTCTTTCATGTCTCAGTAGTGTCACCTCACTCGTGACCAAATCTAGTTGAAAAATGGAACCATTCATATAATCAGTCCAGAACACATAATTCCCATGATGTGACAGTCCAAAAGGATGGTTCAACTCTTTCCCACTGTAAACAACCTGTAAAATATAAACACATTGTGAAAAATCAGAGCTGATCTTTAAAAATATAACTATTCAAAGAAAGTAATGTTTCAAGAAGTATAATAGACAATGATATAACTCAGGTCTCAATTAAAAATGTATTCCAGTAGACTTGAAAAAAATAAAGTATTGAAATGAATTCCACAATGTGTGCATATTTTTCTGTATTTAGGATATACTATTTGAAGGACACAATTTATATTTCATCCGTTTAAATTCTCTCATAACTCTCTTCTCTGGCTTTTTTCTTTATAATACTCCAAGACCATACATATCCTGGGGCAGGAACTGATCTAAGTAATTAGTTTCTCTACGTATATCACAATGTTGCTTATGCAATAGCCAAGGATGCAACACGGTCTAATGGTATTGGGAGTGAAAACAATCTTCCAAACTCACTTTGACCAATGCAATTTAAAGAAATCTAGGAGATGTCAAGGAGGAAGGTAAAAATTTGAACATAGAAACAATTATTGTAAGTATATAGTATAGACAAAGAAGGCTCACTGGTTAATTTTGACTCTGATTATCTTAATATATTCATTTACATTCCAGTTTTATGCTTTTGTTATTGTTGTTTCAAAGGAGCAATCATGTGATAAACATTCAAGTCCTATTTCACATGGAGGATTGTAGAAGGAGAATAAGGAATAACAATTCCAATAATAATAATAATTTTCCACCTTTCATCATTTATACAGTTTATGAAATATTGTATACAATAAGGAAAACAATTTTGTATTCATTCATTTTATATTGGAGAACTGAGGAAATTACTCAAGTAATTTAAGATTAGAAATTCAGATTTTGCCTCTTTCATGTAACTTCTTCATGCCAAATTATCACATAATGAATAATTGAGACAGTTTCTTATTTTTATTTTCTCACCTCTGTGTAGGCTATACTATGCTGGTCATTAAACTGTTATGTATATTTTGTACACACCAACATCTTTAAATGAATAATAAATATTTATTCAGCATCTGTTTAGTATTGATATTAATGACCTTACTTATTTGGGGGAAAATATTTAAAACACCATCACAGTCAACTAATGTTGAAATAGGCAGCTGATTAGTGTACTATTTCCCAAACAGAATCCATAATGAGTAGACTTAGCCAATTATGCAGTCCTCTTTCCCAATACAGAAAAAAATAGTAAGAGTCAAGAAAGCATGTTGGCATTTTCTAATATTCCATTTTTCAATTGCTTAACTAACAGATAGAATCAGTCCATGGTGTTATGTGTGTTTAGCTAATTATAAGCTAGAACATAGAGATGATATTTTGTCAACTATGTCTTTACGTCACAGTCAACCATACTATCCTCAGTTTTGCCCAAGAATTTCAAAATCATTTTGAAATGACTAACCCAAAAAAGGTAAGAGGAAGCTGATGCCTGTTCATACCAGTAGACTTGAAGTTCAGTTCATTTTTATTATTAGGAGCTACGATTTCAATATCATGAAGTTCTTTATTCAAATAAATGCATTGTAATTACTTTCACATAACATACAGGTTAAATTTCAGCTGTGAATATTGGAGATATTTGAATCGGATTGAGTTGCTTGATCATAGCAAACACTTCAGTAATGTAGAAATAACTGCATTTTAAAACAGCTCTGATATCCTGGGAGCTTCTTTTAAAAACCCCACAAATCCTGGCATACCACAGTGAGCTGGGCCTGGTCTCCCGGAGGCAATTGCCAGCTGCACTACTTAATGTTCAGCTTCCCTTCGCCACCCCACAGAGACTATTGGCAGCCACCTCAGGGGGATAAAAATAAACTTGAAAGTATTTTTAACACAACACAACAAGGCTCTGTGAAAGAAGCAGCCTGTGGGTTAAAAACAGCAGCATTTGTCTTTTACCTTCCTGTGAGTGCCATTCAAAAACACTTTTTCAATATGATCATAATAGGCATCACACCAGTATAACGTGTTGGTGTTAAAGTCCAGAGTTAAACCATTTGGCCACAGCATCTTTGAAGTCACAAAAATCTGCCGATTGAAGCCATCCATCCAGGCCTTCTCGATCCTTCCCACGCTGTCATCTATTTCATCTTCCTCCCAGTCTGTCCAATACATCCATCTAAAACATAACAAACAAGAACACAGGCGTGTTATTTCAGCCAGCCACCTTATAGACAAACACTTCCCTCAGATTTGGCACCTCCATAAAAACTAATTACATTTTGATTCGCTCTCCTATCTAAATGCTGATCTGCCAGTGAGGGGGGGAAGCTGTGTATACTAAAGAAAGTGAAATTTTGTTCAATGGATACAGTCCATTTAGACACATCACAGAAAATCCACCACTATCACCATCACAATTATTGGCTGCATGCATTAACTAACCTAACAGTAAATGCCAAATCTCTCTTTTCTTTGGTGTTAATGCCAAGTCCGGTAAATGATTTTTTGAGGCATTACTAATTATTTTTAAATGTTATTCACTTTACAAAGCATATAATCAATTATGTGATTAAAAAGCAGATTGACTGACATGAGAACTCACGGCATAGTTAATGATCTACTCCAGACTTTATTTAATCTCAGATGAATTATTATTTTTTTAAGACAGGCAATTGGATTGCCTTGTTCTAAAGGGCAGAGTCATACTGGGTTTGTTTGCTTAGGTCTAATTTGTCTTCCAATGCAAATTATCTATGCTTTATTGCTGCTTATTGTTACCCCAAAACCCACAGAAGATGATTTAGCTGTACATAAGTTTAATAACAGCAGGTTAACTGACCTTTAGAATTTGAGCTTTAATTTCTATCTCAAACAAAAACATCTGCCTTAAAAAAAAAAAAAAAAAAAAAAAGCTTTTGTGTAAGCTATAACAGTGGGGCAGGGAACGGGGGTGGGGGACTTGATTTAATGCTCCAATTCCATCATGAATAAGGTTAAAACCCTCCACATGTGTTGTTTTAGGGTCATGTGAAAGTTCCTGAATTATTAATTAAAGTGTAGGTTTTAATTCAGTCACCCTACATACAACTTCATAAAGCTCTAAAGCTTTTTTAAGCTGCTGACCCTAGAAATGCCCTTGTTAGATCCCCCATCTCCCACATTTTATGGACTGTAAAGAATTTCTGAGGTAATTTGTGAAACATCTATATCCATGATGAAAAATCCTTCTCTGATCAAAACCGGCAGATTTGGGACGACTGAGGATGTAACACACCATCTATTATTTCATGCTAATTAATCTCTTTTTTAATTCTGCTAAAAGATTGTAATTATTTTAGTATGCCTTTTAGACCTAGTGAAGAATACTGAGAGTCCCTGGGTGGTGCAAAGAGAAAACGTGATAAGCTGTTAACCAAAAGGTTCGAGGTCCCAGTCCACCCAGAGATGCCTAGGAAGAAAGGTCTAGTGATCTACTTATGGAAAATCAGCCATTAGAAACCCTGTGGAGCACAGCTCTACTCTGACACACATGGCATCTCTGTGAGTCAGAACTGACTCGATGGCAGCTTTACTGGACTTGGAGAATATTGAGATTGTTGAATATTATTAACTCAAAGTATATTCTAAACTTAGAAATAAACACGGCAATCTGCCTTTCTTGTTTCATGCATTTCCTTCAAGTGGTTTTATTATTGGGACAAATTAGGAGCAAACAAAAGTTAATTCATTTGTTCTAATGCTATGCTAGCTAGGTATAACAACTTGACTTCAGCTATGAAAATTAACTATGGATTCTATTCATCTCTATCAATATTTTCCTGAAATCCTTTTAAATACAGTTAATCAGTACAGTTTTATTATTTTGCTAAATTACAAACTGTTAAGTTTGCAGCTATCTTTCCCTGTATCTTTTCCTTTTGATTATGCAACACTCTTCTTTTCTGTGACTCTCTATTCCCAACCGCACATACATATGCACCAGCTTATGTATGCAAGCGCACGTATATGCATGCACACTCCCACACATGCAAGAGGGCTAAACCTAAATATTATAAATGTATTTCAGATGGTTTTGCTGTTTGAAGATAGAATTGTTTGTGATCTGTTCTATTATTTAATATTGTTTTATTCAAACAAAATATAAAAAAAGTATATTTCTCTAAATAAGAGGATGCCAGTCTGACAGCTGCTGGTAAGTGATCATCATCTACTCATTTCAATATCTGCTGAAAAGTTATGTTATGTCTATACCAAATGATGATGATTCCTGAGCACACAACATAGAAAATACAACCTATAAAATACACAGGAACTATTGTAAATCTTTTTCTAGGTGGGATTCCAGATATTCACCAAATAAAAATTAGGATAAGCTGGCCTTCTTCTCATTTGGCAAGGAAAATTCTACCTCTGTTTTCGAAGTCTGCTCAAGTGCAACTCTTGGATGAAGTCTTTCCCCCATCCTTGTGTCAAAATAAGTTCTTTGCTTTTTCTCATGACACTTTTTAGTTCTCTTATCATATTTTTGGCACTTACACCTTGTATCGTATTTGATGGTATTGCATGTCTTATGATACCATTTAAAAATAATTCAGGGCAAGGATTATTTTTAATACATACTTGTACCCTGGAATATCAACCTGGGTTTTAATACTATTGATGTTCCCACATTGACTGGACAATTCTAGAACTATTTAAATCATTAAAAACTTCTCTGCCATGGAAGTAAAATAAATTTGTTTCCCCATAGAGAAACTCAATTTAGTTGTTGACCTAAGATCCAGCTGTTAAATGAGAGGGTGTGGTACTATTAACTGAGATAGAAATACAGAATGATCCTGTCTGAAGGGAAATACACAGTCAGCTTTGGACATATTTTTTACAGGTGAATATTTTGAGAATGCAGAACTAGAGGTATATATTTCTAAATTACTGATATAAATAAATCATTGTGAAATTATTAGAAATGAGTGGGTGCATTTCTAGTTATCAGCTTGAAGCACAGTACCATCATAACCTCCTTCTCCTTCAGCTTTATCTCTATTTCAGTAATTGACAAGGCCTGCCAATCCTATTCTTTAGTGTCTCCTGCCTCAGTCCTCTTAAAAGTGTGAAAGTTCTGACTTTCATTCCTTGTCAAAGGAACTCATAATGGACATTCCATCTTTGAATCTCTTCTATTTCTCATACAGCTGTCATATTGCCATCAGTTGTCTTCCTAAATCATGAACTGAAAAATGGGATTTTTATCCTCAAAACCTCTCAATTACTCCTTTGTCAACAAAACAAATCCATACTTCTTGTCACAACATTGAAGATTTCAGTATATTTTTCATTTCACCATCTACTGTGTTCCTTCACAGGCCCTCTGCTGTAGCTATAATGAACTCATGGCACTTGTAAACTTTCCATACATTTCCCTGCCTCTAAAAATTACTGTCCCTTCAGAGGAGAGAGATTAATCTTGTGACTGCCCACCCCAAGCCACTAAGACCACCTCTATTCATTTGGGAAACTTCTTCATTCTGTAAGACTCAATTCCAAATAAAACACCTCAACGAAGCTCAGAAAAGCATGTATTTCATGCTATTAAATTTTACAGTTAATTGTGTGTGTGTATACCATTTTATAAACTCCCTGAAGACAACAATTGTCTTACTGATTTTTATTGACCTATATAGTAGTTTCAAAATAATATATTTTAATAAAGAAATAAATGAATAAAACATTTATTGATTCTGTAAAATTGGCTATGAAGCTTTTGACAAAGCATATTTCTGAAATGAATTATTTTTTGTTAGTAGGTATTACAGTACAGAACATCTATGATACTCTCCTTCTGTATCCAGTTACAAATAGAGAATGCAGTAGGAAAAATGCAAATAAATCGATTTTTTTACCTGAAAATATTTGCTTAAGGGTACATTATGCTATTTTGAATGTAGTTTTCTGGATTAACTTTGTTACTGTTTTTATACTATATCAGTTTCAAACAATTATTTGGACGATTATACTTACAAGGCTTCATTTGCACTTCTACTGCCTTCTAATCCTTTATTCACAGACTGGTAAGATTTTTTCTTTTAAAAAACATAAATCTGATCATGTCACTTCTACCTTTTGATCTTGTAATCAAAGACAGAAATACAAAGCTCTTGTCATGGCCAGTAAGGCCTTACTTTCCTTTTGCATTACATCTCCATACACTTTTTCCTTTTGCTGTCTAAAATACAGTCCCACCATCTTCCTTTCAGTTTCTCTGACCTCCAAGTTTTGCCCAACGGAAGATCTTTAGATCTATTTTCTTGATTTGAAATACTCTTTCTTCAAATCTCCATGGCTGGTTCCTTCTCAGCTTAAGTGACATCTCTAAGAGAGGCCCTCTCAGCAAACCTATTTAAATAAGTTTCTACCTATTAGTCTCCACCATGCCAACCTGTTTGCTTTCCTCCATCACCATGTTCTGTTGAAATCACATTATTTGTGCTCATTTAGTACTCATTTACTATTATACCCTCCTGCTCTCCTACCTTTCAGGTGATATGCTTTGTGAGGTTTAATATTATATCTGTTTTCCTTACCGTGTATACCTAGTGCAAATCTCTGGGTATAGAATATTGTTACTGGAAATTTTATGTGTGTGCGTGTGGGTGTGTACACACACATATACATGTACACAACTTTTTTTTCCAGGTTGCTGTATAAATAGAAGTATTCTATTTGAAGACATGCCTGGTGTGAGAGGCATTAGAGCCATTCTTTGCAGTTCCAAAGGCAAATATAGTGTCTGTTGGTAGATATCGCAGAGATACAGACATTGGCTTGATGAAAATAAAAACATTCATATCAATCAGAAATGCCTCCAAATAGAATGAACTATGTAGCTGCCATATGTTTTAAACAGAAATTGGATGCCTACCTATTAGGGAGGTGTTGAAGATTTTTCAATTTGATGAGACAGACGGGATTAATGGCCTCTATGTTTCTTTCCAAATCATGTGATTCTATGACCTCCATACCTCTGTAATCACCTCAGTGCCACAAAGAACCTTTAACTCTATTGGAAAACATATACGTCTAACAGAATACTAAGAAGAAAGATACTGTTTTAGGGTATGATTTAAAATTCTTGTCTCAAGTAAATTTGGACAATGTGGAATAAAAATACTTTTTCTTAAAACAAAGATTATATTGGTTTAAAGGCCATATCAGTGGCTTGTTTTAAAGGTCCAGGAATAGAACAGATAATTACATAACCCACACATAAAATCACTAAAATTACTTTATAATTATATTTTACTAAAACACACACAATGAGTACACACACTGCCTAGAAGAACCACCGTGACTGTATTAGGAACTACTCTCAAGAAAAACAATTACACAACTGTGATGTGGATTTCAGTTTATAAGAGAATCAGATGTGTTCTATTCAATTAAATATTTTGCATGAGTGTAGCAAGTACATGTAAAATATCCATTTGATGATGCTATATTACAATAAAATATAAGCCATACAGGAAAAATAGCTTACAAAGCCTATACTTTTAAAACATGTAATCTATTCATTTAATTCTGAAATTTGGCTAAGAATTTTCATATTTCTTTTATATTTCTATATGTACAGTTTTGTTTCCAGGTAACATCACTGAATAAAAGTCAAAGGAAAATATATTACCAATAATTGCACAAAATCTTCTATTGTAAAACAAGTAGCACATGCTATAAGACTATGCCATGATATGTAAACCATGCTTTTGTGTAAAATTGTGTGATTACCATAACAGACTTGTACAAAGCAGTAGAATACAATGGCCAAGGGTAAAGTCCTGGAGATAGTATACCTGGGAGAGTCTATCCAGTCTCTTACTAACTGTATGGGCTTCAGCAGATCAATGACCAGTTTATTCTTTATAAAACAGGGATGAAAATAGCGACTAATTCAAATGATTGCTGTGAGAATTACAGAATAGGAACAGAGTGATATATTTAACAAAAATTCTGATGCACTGTAAATATACAAAAAAAAAACTTAGCTATTTTTTAATCAAATTTCAATAGTCTTTTATTAAATTAAATTGATTGATCCCAAGATTGATTATTTGTCTTGGTGTCAGACTGTCTAATGTGGAAAATTATGAAACTGTCTGAATAAATTAAGTAAATACATCTTTTATACAAATAATCTGTTTATTTCAGTTCAATGTATTTTAACATATTTATTTGGAAACTTTTCTGGAAGAGGATATCATTAAATGAGTAACTTTTCACAATCAGACCATTCATATGAATTTAAACAAAACTTACTCTCATAAAAATATATAAAAAGAAATTTATTTAATATAGTTTTCTTATATAAAGCTCTTCAAATATTGCATACCCATTGACTGGATCCACTACAATTCCTCTGGGATGGGACATTTCTCCTTCTAAAAGAGTCTTCCGACTCTGAGAGGCCTTTTCCAACCTGGCCACATTGATGGTTTTCCGATGGCCATCATTCGTCCAGTAAAGGTTATTTCCAATCCAGTCCACAGAAATGCCTTCCACATTATCCAGATCTGTAAAAAATAAAAACAATAAAGAAACAAACATTCTCATTCACTACTTATGATCTACTTAAAAAATGTTTATTTAATTAAAAAAGGGATTAATTCAGACCCATGAACTCTATATGTGATTTTATAAATATCACTATTCCATTCTTTTCAATTTTATTTTGAATGTGATTTTATGTGAATGAAGAGTTTTCTTTCTTCACATGGATTTCTCCATTCTACACAGGTTTTGAAAAATCTATGAGTAATTGTTATCTATATTAATTGAACCTCAGTATGTTTTAATTAAGACAGTCATCTTCAGAAAATAGGAAAATAGAAGTGATAAAAGGAAAGAGGGTGAAAGATAAGTTCTTAGTATAAAAACAGCAGTATAGTCTGTTCAGAAGAAAAATCTACAAGTAATATGGCAGCATGTTCAAACTTATAATATGTTATATGAGTAATAAAAAGTAACATGAATGCCCTCTTGCAAAGAGACAAATAGGTTAGACAGAAGTCCACGTTTGAAAGCCCAAACAGGTTTTCATCAGGGAAGTGCATGAACAGTGATTCTCAAAGAATCACCGAAACACTTCTGTGTATTTTAGCCGTATTTTAAAAAGAACCCTGTTACAGGCTTCTGTAGGATGCAGGCAGTGATAAATCAAAGGATACTGTAAGAAATAGACTGTTAGGAGTTCACTTAATTCAAACCCTTTATTTTACAATGGAAAACGAATACTTCAAAGAGAAGGCATCTGCCTATGGTCTACTATCATATATTATCATGCCAGAAGTGGTATAGTTGGGATGAAAATTGAAATCATATGATTCCCAATGTGGAGACCTTTAAAACTGCACTCTTCCTATAGTGGATTTCTGGAGCACCCTGTCCTCACCTTTTGCCATTTTCTAAGCCACCCACCAAACTACCCACGACGTCAGGACTGTTCCATTCTTCTACTGCATGAAAAATTACTGTGGACATCTTCTCTTCTTTCAAACTCTTCCTGTGTAGGAGGTGGAGAACTGCAACTGACTGGACAAAGCAATAGGTAGTACTACATTAGATTGAGAGCTGTGTTGTCATATATTACTGGGAAATCGACTTGGCATTTTCTCATTGGCAAGACATAATAAATATTTTCCTATTATCACATTCTTTAACCATGGCCTTCTGCCTCTGGAAAAAAGTAAAAAAAAAAAAAAAAAAATCTTTTGTGACCATTTCTGCTAATCAGCATGTCCTATGAATCAGGATGACTAATAAAAATTGTGATTTAATCTAAGTGAAAATCCCATTATCGTGAATCAGATATGTTCCCAATTTCACTAAGCTATCTGCTTCATTACCATCCAATATGAGTAATTTTCACAGGTTAACTGTGCCTACGCTTAGAAAAAAAAAGTTCAATTTTGTCTCTACTTTATTGACACTTAATTTTTACTGAGCATTCCCTGTTCTGGCATAACGGAAAGAGAGCGGCTGTTTCCTCTTTTCTGTTTATCATAGTCTGTGGCTGGTTTTAATCTTGTTAGCTGATTTTCAAAAAATTATATTACATTTGAAATCTGCTCCACCATGGAAAGTCTTCCTTCTCCAATAAACTTCGTATTTTTAAAGCTTTTCCTTCTGACATCTGACTTGAGACTTTTAATTTTTCATATGAAACCACTGCAATACTGTCCAAATTGAAAATGTGGTTCATATACCTGGGTAAGCAACTCAATCACTCTGGTCCTTAATTTCTCTATCTGTAAAGTGAAGATAATAATAGCATCTACTCTGCAGGGTGATGACAATGGCTAAATTAGCTACTGCATGAACAGCACTTAGCATACTGCCTGGAACATGATATATTCTCAATACACGCTAGTTTTTATTACTTGGGTGGGATTATTTAAAATATTTTCTATATATTCTGGCTCTTTTCTTTATGGATGCTAATTGATAGGAATGCAACCATTTTTTTCTCTATTAAAAATATCATTCAAGATTATTTTCTTGCACTTAGACTAGTGGCCAACTTTAATTAGAAACAGCATATGCAAAGCCAGTTTTGAATAAACGGTAAGAGTTGGGTAGAACTGATTATGCTAAAAATTCTAAGAACCAGAACTTGGAAGGGTCGTTTTACTGGCTGGTTTGTTTATTTTGCCTATGAAAAAATGCTTGATCAGCACAGAATGAAATAGTGGTTAAGATCAGAAGTTCTGAAATCAGACTTCCTAGGCTCTGCCAATTACTATTTATATAACACTGAGCAAATTACTTAATCTTTCTATTATTCAGTTTCCTGAGCTCAAAAATGGGGGTCAACATTGTTTTGAGGATTAAATTAATTCGTATATGTAAAATTCTTACAGTAATGGTTGGCACATAGTAAATGTTATATAAAGATTATATTATTACTAATATCATTGTGTAATCTTCCCTTTAGCTACCTAATTACTCTATTAAGATAGTAATGAACAATTTATCTAAGGTGTTTTTTAAAATATTTTTAAATTTGTTTTTGCTTGTTTTTCTGTGTTATGGAGAATGCAGCTGAATATAAATTAAAAGTCTTAAAAGTTTCTAGTGGAACCCTAGTGGTGCAGTAGTTAAGAATTCAGCTGCTATCCAACACCCATTCCTGATAAAAGCTCTCAATCAAATAGGTATAGAAGGGAAATTTCTCAACATAATAAAGGGCATCTATGCAAAACCAACGGCCAACAT